CCAAGGCTCAAATTGCTAGCCACTTTTTTTTGGCCATCTTTGAACAAAGACGCCTGACTGTTTGTATTAGAATGCCTTACTTGTCAATAAGCCAAATCTGCTACTGCACTTCCTACTGGCCTATTATAGCCATTGCCTGTTCCATTGCAAATTTGGGAGGATGTGGCGATGGATTTCATCACTGGACTCCCTCCTTCACATGGATACATCATATTTTTTGTTGTGGTTGATCGCTTATCCAAGTATGGTCATTTTGGTTCTCTTAAGGTTGACTTCTCTAGTTTAAAGGTAGCAAAGACCTTCATTCATTCAATTGTCAGATTACATGGCTTTCCTAAAAGTATTGTCTCTAACAGAGACAAGGTTTTGACAAGCAGGTTTTGGCAACATCTTTTTCAATTAAGTGACACTTCCTTAGCTATGAGCTCCTTATACCATTCACAAACAGATGGTTAATCTAAGGTTGTCAACAAATGTCTGGAACTTATCTTTGATGTTTCACTAGAGATAATCCTTGGTCCTGGTCTAGGTTGCTTACTTGGGAATTTTGGCATAATACCTCTTTTCATTGCAACATCGACATGACGCCTTTTAAGGCAGTGTATGGTCGTGAACCACCTGCTTTGATCAAGTATGGACAGTCACCAATGGATCCTTTAACACTACAAGAGTTATTGATTAAGAGGGATTTTGTTTTACTAAAATTAAGGGTCAACCCCACCAAAGCTCAACTTTTCATGAAGCACTATACAGACAAGAAAAGGAGACATATGGCATTTACCATTGGAGATATGATTTTGGTCAAACTTCAGCCGTATAAACAACACTTGATAGCTCTACGCAACAATCAAAAACTTGGCTTACGATATTTTGGTCCTTTTTCTATTATTGAAAAAATTGGTGAGGTTGCTTACAAACTAATGTTGCCTCCTTCAAGTAAAATTCATCTAGTATTTCATGTCTCACTTTTGAAGCCCTGTAAAGGAACCCATGCCACTCCATGTATGCCTTTACCTTTGATGACCAATGAGCACGACCCTTTGTTAGCACCCAAGTCAATTATGAAATTCCAACTTATACTTTGAAATGGTCACCAAGTTCCATAGGTTTTTAGTCCATTGGGGTTTGCCTATTGAGGATGCTATTTTGGGAAGATTGAGGCCTTTACAAAGTACTTATACTTGCCTCAACCTTCAGGACAATGTTGTTTTCAATGGAGGAAGTAATTTTATGACAAAGAAGGATGCACGTGAAACAACATCTGGCCTAATATATTCGGTTGAGGGAATGAGACATGTGGCAATTATATTGATCCGTTCAATCAAGGATTAAAAAGGAGAAATAAAGAGAGAAAACCTAACATAAAATATGTTGAAGACTATGTGATATAAGAAAGGAAAGAGAATGGACAAAAAGGAGAGTCTTTTGGGTGATACTAGATTTCTATATTCTTCTCTAAATTCTCTCTTATGCTACAATCTCATGTTGTCACTTTCTATATCTTTCTACAATTTTCCCTAAATAGAATGAATAACATCTATATTTCCCTTAAGTCATTTGCCTTTTTTTTTTATATGTAATTTTGCTTCATTTTTTATTATTATTATAAATGTAGTTTCTCTAATTTTTAAAATTAAGTATATTAGTCTAATATTAATATGTTATATAAAATTTGTTAAAAAATGTTGATGTGTCTATAAATACACGACAGTTACTTTACTGTGTTAACTTTTATGTAAAAATCAGCATCATTTTTTTTTAATTACATATATGTTATGGCTTTTTTTTAATTTTAATTAAAACTTAATTTATTAAAATTGTAATGACCCGTCATGGTTGTCACACTACGCAACACACAACTAACTACGTATATACATATACCGAAACAATAATATAATATAAACATATCTACATCTTATGAATATGTATACATGTTGCTTGTCCAGCAACTATATACAAATATATATACAAAAGTATCTACTAATAACCGGTAGTCTACAAAATAAAATCCAACTCCAGGCACACCTGTGGGTTCCATTGCTACTCTCCAACCTATCCTTGCCCTGCTCCCATACAAGGGTAAGCTAGGTAAAATAAACAATTCATATAATTAAGTATGCAACACATCAACACATAAATTCATTTTCACATCCAACACAAGCTACAAATAACACATATGCTACACATCTTAATATCACTTCAACAATATAACACATATCAACATTATATCAACACATCAACACATATGCGTCGTCACGCATTTCAACTCGGAAATTTCCTACAACACAGTGTGAGCAGTCTAAGTTGCTAGGTCCTACCGAACTGATAACACAAAACCTTTTTGGGCTTGCTAGGTAAACAACGAGTTTGGATAAAAATTCACAATACGATAATGGTTTCTCAAACTTTGTCACTTAAACAAGGAAGTATAATACTATGTCAGGATAAGACAGTTGGGTTTAGGCCTACCACGACATTAGCTAGCTCAACTAAGCCACCTATGAGATTTGCCTACTAACTATCCTCCAAATACTACAAGCCTCCGATACTTGGTTAGGAACTAAGTTCTTGATTTCGCACTTTACTCGAATTAGCCGTTTGTAATCGGTATAGCTCGACTTGACCCCTATACTATGGTCGCTTTGTACACGTGTGCCTTGACCTTACCCACACACGAGATCAACTAAGTCCTAGAGGAGAAAAACACAACATCCACTCCAAAGGACAACTTTTCGAGGAGGGTTTTTCAACAAATCGGGCTCTCAAAGCACCACAACTATCTCAATCCGCACAATGGGACAGACAATTTCGAAAACATCTCTCTTAGTCCTAATGATCAACAACTCATCATCACAGCTCAATGACATATCAACATTATTCATATAATATCCAAATATAACTATACAACTTCACAACACAATTATCAATATATACTCATCAACATTCAAAATCTAAAGTTCCTTATCATACAACATCTCTACAATTTATTCATCATCATTTAACAATAATACAACTCAAACAACAAGCTTTAGACATATAGGTCATTTCATCAAGCAAACAATCAACTCATTTGGAAAAGAAATTTATTAAGCTAAGTTCCCACGCTCAACGCAGAAACTCACGCTCAGCCTCAACCTTCTAGAGGCACAACTCAGCTCTCACGCTAAGCCAAAAATTCCACGCTCAACATCAGCCTTCTAGAGGCACATCTCACTCTCACACTAAGCCCAGAATCTCATGCTTAGCCTTAGAGTTCCAGCAACATTTCGAAATTGTCACGCTAAGCGTGAAAACCCATGCTTAGCGTCCCAAACCCAAAAATTCATACCAGCAAATGAACAACTACATCTCCAATTCCTCTCAACCCATGCAATGATCAAAACATGCAACCCCAAAATCATTCAACCCCAACAACATACAACTCAGAATTCAGAAGAAAAGTAACATGCATTTACAAAAACTCAAGGAAATCAACACATTTCAATCTTACATCAAGAATAACCAAAAACCCCAATTTCAACATAAAATCCCTTGAATCAATCTCTCAATTGCAGATTTCATCAATTTATCAACATTAAACCTTCAATCCGTTCAATAGTCCCACGTTTTCAACCAAAATCCCAAATCCTAGCTTGTCTTACCTCAGAACGGAATGAACGACAAACTCCGAGCTACTCCGATATTGAAGAAGAAAAAGAAAATGAAACGACATTAATGCCATTAAATAATGTAAATTGACTTATTAATTCGCGTATTTTTTCCCCATAAACTTGAGTAGTACGCCCACATAAAAAGACTACCGACTCCATCTCTAATTAATTAATATAATACTTTTTAAACTAAATTATATTATTTTAAAATTTAATTAAATTTTTTTTATCAATTAGTTAATTTAATAAAAAAATTAATAATTTAAATTAGTTTTTTTTCAAAATTAACCTTCTTTTTTATTTAATCATTTTTATTAAATAATTAATGTTTGGAAGAATATATATATATATATATATATATATATATATATATATATATATATATATATATTTTTTTTTTTTTATAT